TCCGACATTTTCTGCTTTAATTTTAAAAATTATTTTTCAAAAAATTTTTTTTTAATAAAAAAATAGCACAACTGATTTTAATTAACAGAAGATTTTTTATTCTTAAGACACGGCTATTGGAACAGAAGATCCTTTGAGTATTTTTTAGTACGTTTGCAAGGACATTGAAAGAAAATAATTCATTAGTTTTTGCTTTATTTGTAAAATGGGTTTGTAGATAACGATAATCCATTACCTCTAACTCCATTCATATCAATCTATTCTTTCTTACACTCTGTTGTTTCTCATCCTTATGGCCTTTATCTGTGACACTTCCGCTATCAATCGTATGTAAGTTGTTTTGTTATAAGTACCATTAGATACTTAGGTAATGAAGTAATGGCTAAAAGTATCGATTTACTATTTAAGTAATTCAATATATGAATGATTTATTTAACTTACAGAAAGCACACTAAGTCATGCATGAGGTTTTTCAAATTTTTTATCTACTTCTTAAGAAATCTTACTATCCATCAATCTACGTCAGTTTATATTCACTAGATTCGTTTGCAAGGTGTGCGTGCAAGTTTCAAAAAAAGATTTAGATCGTAATAACGTATTCCATCGTCACAGGAAATAGGAATTGGAAATCACAAAATTCTTGAGATAGAAATTGCATTAAAGTTATTGACAGGTACAAGTTTTTTGAAGATAAATTTATTTTCACGATTATGTCATTAGAGTTTTAATTATTGTGAAAATTTCTTTTATCATAAATATTAATTAGCTTTCGTTTGAAGTATATTTAATTAATTTTTTTCCAATTTACTGGATTGAATAGCCGTTTATTTGATTAAAAAATCAGCAATTGAAAATTTTTAATAATATAATACTTAATGATATTGACTTTTGATCATTTTTATCATTCTAAATATATTGAATGAAGATTCATAAAAATAATTCTATTCACTCGTGAACATTGCGATTACACTTATCAATTAACAAATTAAGCGAAGAAATTGCTAGAATTTTTTCTGTGGTTTTTTGTGAGATAATGATTGAACTCATCATGGAATTGATCAGATTAGTTATTTTCTTCAAATAATTTCAGTTGTTTCATTGATAAAAATTTTTTTTCTATTAATAAAATGTTTCGAAAATAAATATTCTAAATAATTAGATTTAATAAACACGTTAAAATGGTTGTACTCATTATTATTATCAGATAATCGTTGCTTTAAAAATAGACAAACACGTTAACCATTCTTAATCTGATAAAATACCCTGGAGTAAATTCATAACAGTTTCGTTAACTTTTCAAGTAGTAATCTGTTGCAAGATTTACTTTAGAGAATTTTGTCAACACAAGTTTGCTCATGAAAAAAATTTCATATAGTTTATGACTTAATAAATATTTAAATAATAAATATTCTTGCAAATAATTAAACAAACGATGATTTATATCAAAAGATTATATCACCTGATGATTAAATAAACATTTTGTAAGCACTACTGACAATTATTCCTATCAAAAAAAATTTTTTTAAATTATTTTTTCATTTACTGGAAGTGTTAAGATATTTTATAAATAAATATTGAATGGTTTTTATTGTGAATCTAATTTTGGTAAATGAATAAATAGATGTAAAATTTTTTCAAGTTGCAACTTTGTTAAGCATATGGATGAGTGACATAAATTAATTTTATCTAACAAAATTCCCTTTTGACCTCACATTATTTATAAATTTTCATACAAATTTTTTTTTTACACTCTTTCTTGATAACTTTTTCCAAGAGAAAATCACGTTCATTTTAAAAGTTCTAAGTCCAGAGATTTTAGCCTCAAGATATCCAGTTAAACTTTTTTAATCGTTTTTATGACTTGACAACCCTAGTTGGGCAAAGAAAAAAACGTGCAAAAATGGCGCCTAAAGAAGAATAAAAAAAATTTTGTAAAAATTCAATTATCTCCAGTAATTATAAAAAGAATCACTTCATTTTTTTTTGCTCATATAACTGTACGTGTAAATTAAATTTTAACGTCAAACTATCTCTTCTCTTCAATCTTTTCTTATTTAACTTAAATGAAATGTATAAGTTTCAGTACAGAAAAAAATCGTCATTCAATAAAAAAAAACTCTACTTCTAATAGAACTTTTTATAAAAAAACCGTCCCTTTATCAAATTGTGACAGTATTGCCATTAATAAACGTCACATGTGTGGGGTCTTTATTTTGATGTAGACAATATCCTTAATTCTTGTTGTATGTAACTTTAAAATTGTTTAAAAATTTTTATAAAAACTTTCCATCACTATTTTTATAAACAATGATTTTTTTTTATTCCAACTTAAACATTTTTATTCCAAAGAAAAAAAGCTTATCTCATTTTTTTATGATTTAAAATCATTTAATTTTATTTAATAGTATTTAATGATAAAAAATTCATCACCTGTATATTTTAAATATTCTCAAACCAATACAGAACACTTGAAACTTGTTAAAATCCATGTACTTGTTTTAGTATTATCATTATCAAAAACAGTAAAAAATATTTCGAAAATAAATAAATAAATTTTCCAAACAAAATGATAAATTAAAAACAATCAAGAAAATTCACAACACAACACGACAGAGTTTATTAGATTGCCAAAAGCTGTTGTCGAACCAAGGCGGGAGTTTCGCGGTTTGAGAGAGACTGTCATCACCGCGTGGCTTGCAAAGCTTTAGCCCTTTTCAACGCATGCGTAGTGAGAATCAGACACAGAATTAAATGTTTCTGTATACATATCTACTCCTCAACTCGTCTTATAACGTTACTTTTTTTGTTGATAACTGTGACTAGATTGTCCTATTCCCAGGGATTTCTCCAAGTGAAATATTTCCACTTACTTAACTTCAAAGGATTTATTTTTCAACTTTTTCTGTATTTAATCTTCGAAAACACTTTCAACAGATAAGTGTAAGTACCACCAAAGTGTGATTGATAACACATGATGATATTATAATTCGACATTTCTCACTATTTTTCCTCGTGGCTGACTTATTTTTTAGTTTACTACTGAATTAATAACTCGATAAAATTATTTTTTAAATTAATTTATTTAATTATTTATTGATGAGAGACAGAAGGAATAATTTAATGAATAAATAATAATGAGAATTTTATTATCAAATAATTGCTTGATATATTTTACGAGCCAAATTAATACGTTCAATCTGTTTATTATTTACCTAATTAATGTATTTGTCATTAAAACATCTATATTATTTCGTTACGCTGCTGTTCAATCTTTCGTGTATAATGTTGGTATAAATTGTTGATTGCTATCATAATGGATATTTATCAATCTCATCGTTCTCCCAGGAATCATAAAAAAATATTATTATTGTCATTGAATTATAATCAATGAAACTGTTCAGAAAAAAAGCAACGATTTTTTCTCTATTTTATTTCACGCTAGATTATTACTATCGATTACTAAAAAAAAAAAAAAATGAAAATGATAATTTTCAATGAAAGCTCCATTTCCTTGACCTCTCAGTACTTTTCAAGAACTATTGAAGCCTAAGCTTAACAGAATACTTTTTCAATCTTTAACGAAAAAAAAAAAGATTCTATTAAATTTAATATTTTAAAAAAATATTTTATTTTGTTTAAATAATTCAATTCCGTTCAAATTCATACTGATTTTGTATCAATCTTAGGCCTCAAAGCTTGGAAGTCTATACCCTAGTAGGAAGCAAACCTGGTCCATTCCTGATTCAACATTTGACCAAGACTGACCAGATTACTCTAGTACTAGACAAGTCTTGCTTCCAAGGAATTTATTTATTATTAAATCTCCTAACTTGAATAAATTCATCATGCTTATGGAATATCTACTGAAATGATAAAGCAAAAAAATAAAATATAAATTGAAAAATAAAATTTTAGAAAGGAGTAGGATAAAATCCTAGTAAAAATGATGTATTGAAAATAAAATATATAAGATAAAAAAAAAAACTTGGTAATAAAAGGAATGATTTGATAACTTGATATTGACAAACGACGTATTTAAAATATATAAAAGCACATTGTTATTAGTTAAGACGTAGATCTTGATATTCATGATTAAATGATATCCTTTTATCCTCTCAGGGGATAGAATTAACTGCAAGCTGTATTCTCTATTAGATACGAGACATCATGATAGTGGATCCTAAAGAGGTTGGAACAGGATGTAAAAGGGAAAAAGGGAGGGATAAAGAAAGAGAGAAAGAGGAACATGAGGAAATCTCAGTTTAATCTTTATCCAACCGACCACGAATCCCTGGGTTGCTCGTTGCGACACGATGATCTCATCCACGTTATTACGGTTATTACTTCATTGCTGGTGAGTCTCTGTTTCCCTTTATAGGCTTACAAGCCTTCATCAGCCTTTTCCTTTCCTTCTTCAATAACTGTTTGTCTCCATAACCCCGATGTATCTATTTTCGAGACGACTGATTTACGGCTTCTGTTTCCCCTTCACCCACTAACTACCCTGAAAAATGCTTCTCACTACCATCTAACATTATCTCATCTAACTTTGTGAAGACTGTTCAGCTATTTAAGCCTTAGCTTTATTGCCACTCTCATAAATTCATGATAGACAATTAACATTGTTCAACTATCGAATTAGTTCATTAAGAACCAATTAGTTTATTTATTATATTTTCCTTTGCCTTGACTTTCTAAACAATAAAAATAGTGACCCAGAAGACTTTTCAAGGTCTTCAACATCTTTTATATGACTCAAAAATCAATTGAAAATATTATCTCATTATTTATGAATTAAAATTTAGCATAAAATCATTTAATGATTTGTTAAAATTTTTAGGTTTAAAAGTAATAATAGTTTGATAAAAATAGTTAGGAATTATGAAATATAAGTGTCGATTATTCTTGATTATATTGTTTTCAACTAGCATCATCATAACTATTGTTTGTTCAAAATATGATTCAAGAAAACTTTTATAATTAAATTGAAGTAGACATACTTGTGCACAAATTTTCTTAGAACTTGGAACAATTTAAGCTTGGATTTTGTTATCTTATATAGCTCGATTTCAAACTTTCTCTCTCCTTTTCATTCCAAGTAATTTTAAACATTTCTATTCACGCTTTAATAAATATGCACTTCCCAACTATCAATATAGGAAACAAAAATTTATTTATTCATTAATGATTTTTTTAAAATTGAAAACAAGTCTCAGAAATATATAAAAGTACTAACAAAAGAATTTTATTGATATTTATTCATTTTTCATTCATTATGAAGATTGGATGATTTTTATGGGCAACTTGTTAATGAAGAGAGGATGACAGTTACATCAAGATGCAGTATTGCCATTACTATTTGATTTCCGGTTGGTAGAAACACTTGGAGATTTTTTGTCTTTGCAGCATTTGTCAGGTTCCTTAGTTCCAAGACAATTTTTGGCACCACAGCAGTTACCATTCCCGTTCTTCCCTCTGTACAATTGTTTTTGGCACACTATTACTAACTTTGGGTATGCACATACTTGACCTTTTTACTTGACTTAATTCTCATATTCTACATATTACCCTTGCCCTGTTTCTATTCAAAATACCCTCCCCATTTATGATGCCAAGGTCAACTACTTATTTTTACAAGGATTTATCTATTGTTCAAAATTAAATCTAAATATTCTATCTTTTGTGAAGATACATAATATTTATTATTTTACTCACTCTTTATCACAACAGCCAACATACTCTTTTACCCTTTCTCCAATTTTAGACCTTTTCATACCTTTTCCATCTCTGTGAAATAAATATAAGTAATCAAAAATTAATTATAATTTGTTTTTAATTAATTACTTTAATGAGTCATGAGATACGTTGAAAATTAAATTACAAAGTAATTTACCTGTCACACGCACAGGTTATTTGACCAGCATAATCTTTCTGGGATGTCATTTTTCTGTATTAATTAAAACAATTATTATTTAATATTTGACAAATAATTTTAAATCACCCAAAATAAAGTGGTTAATTGTTTGTCATACAATTTTAGTTATTATTTATTTAAACAATTTTCGTTTATCTTTGAAATATTTATCTATTTATTCGAATGATGTTAAATAATTTATTCTGACGTTCATTTTTTTATTAATAAAAATTGAAACACGATTATTTAATAATATTTTAAAGAATTTTTTAATGAAATAAATTTTTATTTTAATTTAAAAAATATTTGTTTTTATTTTAAATTGGGTTATGGCTTGTTTAACGTTTTATTTACTCAAGAAAATTACGATTTATTAATTGAATGGTTGATTTAATAAAAATAATTATATTTATAGACATGAAATAAATATTTTGGTTCATAAACTTACGCGCAATGATCACACATGATGACTTGAAAATTTAGTAAATAAATAAAACCCGATAATTTTCAAATACAAAATTAAAAAATAAGCCGAAATACTGACAGCTGTAAAACATGAAAAATATGAATATCAACAACAAATTGTCTTTTGTTTATTTTTTCAAACTTTAAAAAGTAATATCATTTTCTTGCCAAGCAGAACAAAAATACTGTGCTTGTGAAAAAAAAATCAATTTTTCGTTCTAGAATGTTGAATGGATTGAAAGCAAGATATTACTAGTGGGAGTAATATAAATGGGAATAAGTTTTGGTCATTTATGAATTGGAGTGGAAAAAAGACAAGAAAATATTTATTTTAAAAATTAGGTAAGCAAAATTAATTTTGTTAACGACGACAATATATATATATATATATACTATCGTCATTAACATAAATACATATGATAATTTTAATTATCATAATTAATAAATTTCAATTAAATATTCTAATTATTTAAAAAAGTTGATAGAAATTATTGATGCAGATCTTGTACATTTTCGCGATATCATGACTGAAGTAATATTCGAAAATTAACTTTAATCGTAGCTTGAGGGCGTTGTTAATGAAGTTTCAATTAAGTATACTCTAGGTAGGTTGAGTGAAATTAGAGCTTTATCGTTCTTCAACTACTATCTAACTATTAATATCTTCTGTGACAAAAAATTGTTTTTTATTTTATTGTTTTTAACAAACAATTCATTCAACTAACATTCAATTTTCTTTAGCTATTAGGAAAATACATATTGGAGCAAAGAAAATCTCAAATTCAATTATCTGTGCGATAAATTTTCATAAACAATAAAATTAATGTCTTGAAAATAGAATAATGTGAATAAATAAATTATGTATATTTATGTAATAATAAAATCATTATTCCAAAGGACGTAAAGTTGAATAATTAATGTATTTATTATGCGTGGAGTGCTGCTGAAAGGGTAATTATACATGTAAGTGAAATAAGTAAGAAAGAGATCAGGCGGAGTAATGAGACATAAGTGAAATATTCCTTTCTCTACTTTGCCATCTGATAATTAATGAAATGTCAGTGTTATTAATGGCAGTTAATTATCATTATTCTATGAGACATCATTTTATTTATTATTCATAAGTATCATTATAAAAAAATCATTTCAATTTTCCTCTAAACTCACGGCTTGACTTTTAATTTTTTATTACATATTTAAAATTCATTTAGAACTTTTTGATTGATTATAAAGAATAAAATAGCACTAGGATCATTTTAAACAAATGGAACACTGCTGAGTACCTGAAAACATAGAAATAAATTTTTATTATGAAGAAGAAATATTCTTTATGGCTGATATTATTTTTTGATAATTACTTCAGGTTGTATTGTGAAAAAACATCGAGCAAGTTGAAAAGCTTTATCACAAGAACCTCTTGTTGCTAATTAAAATAAATAATAAATAATTAAATAATGAAATTAACAATGAAAATTATGAAATTTTTAGAAATAAATTAATTACGTATTTTTCGACAACGTTCTAATGTCTTTCTTGATTTAACTTGTAAGCCTGGTGGTAAATGTCTTAGAGCTTTTTCAACATCGATATCATTTTTTCCAAAAATTCCATTCTTTTGCATAAAACATTTTAGATAACATTTCAATTTTGGATCTTTTTGCACAAAATTTCCAGCTTTCAGTTTATTAAGTGAGTCTGAAAATATAAATAATATTTATTTAAATACTCAAACAGTTTATGTCGATTTTAACGATTTTTCAAGTTATTTTTTAATATTAAAAAGCAATAAAAACACACTCCACGAAACGCCAGTTTGTTTACGACAGTCCTTTCGAATATCTGCTCCCACTTGTATCTGGAATATCCGGATGGTTACGACTCATTGAAATTTTTTAATATAAAATTATTCGATAATAATTAATACTAGTTAATTAAAAACTGACCGGAATGAAAGAGACCAATAAAGATAGGAATATCATGTCGATTGAAATCTTCATGTTGGCTTTAACACGAAAATATTCACTACAGTAAAAAGGAAAATAAAAATGATTACTATTGTTAAATTATTGACTCGTTATGTTCAGGCTCATAAAAGTCTTTACTATCGATAATACAATCTTTATTGGCTAAACGATTAATAACGATTACCTCAATAACATTTGATTTATAGATGTTGATAGAACATGAAAAAATTTTTAATCACATTTTTTTGAGGTATAAAAACTATTAATATCATTAGTATTCGTAAAATGTATATTTTTCAATTAATTACAATTCAAATATTTCTACATTTAGCACACTACTTATCTGTTTTGTGATTGACGTAAAATGAACCAATCACATTGTGGTAAACGAATACTCCGAAACCGCCTTTTATTCCATCATAACCTTAAAGTTTGTCAACAACTCTCTACACCTGTTTACTCGAATCTCTTATGTATTTATTTATTTGTGATATATTAAACGTAATATTATTTCTAATAGAGTAAAATTACTCTACTTTATTTACAGGTATACTTTACTTATTCTTCATATATATATATATTAACTTATTACAATCTAGATTTAGAGGTTTAATATATTTTTGGAGTAGTTATTCAAAAAGTGAAGTTTTAGAAATAATTATTAACAAGCATCCTACAAATACCTTTTATTATTATTAATAATTATTTAAAATTTTGTTTTATGCTATATAATTTTATAATAACATGGATGAAATGTGTTTAGATTTCAATGAAATCATCTCCAAATCACAGCTGGTTGATATCCTCAATGAATCAATGAGTAGCTGTAATTTTACTGAGGAGTTAATTAATGTAACTTGTCTCCAAAATGATATACTCCATGAAGATTTCGAGTGGAATGAAACGACATGGATTGAAGATGGCAATGGGTTATCCCCATTTAAAGGTAATTATCAATCATTTATGTACGTAAAGGTGAAATTATTATTAACTTTATATTTTACTTAATAAACAGGTTCTAGTCATATTAGAGAAAATTATGAGATGACAAAACCAACAATAATTGAAGATTTTATCAATGAAGTTGACTGTTTTGATGAAAGTTTCGAAAGACCAAATAATTTTTATGGGCTCCCTAATGAAGTCGAACAGTTGATTAAAAAAGTTAGAAATATCACTGATCTTTATGGTAAATAATATCTCATAATGATAAATAAATATTTATTATTTGCTAATTCATAATTAAATAATTTTGTAGATTGGCAGCATGAATGTTTGAGCTTAAATGCAATCAAGGAACGTCGAAATTTAATTTATGCTTTACCAACGAGTGGAGGGAAAACTCTCGTAGCTGAAATACTCATGTTAAAAGAACTTTTATGTAATAAAAGAAACGCTATATTCATTCTTCCATATGTTGCAATTGTACAGGAAAAAGTAAGTAGCAAAAATATTAATTTTTAAACTTAATTATCAAATAAAAAAACAAATTTATTGGAAAATTAAATTTTTAGATTCAATCGATGACTTCATTTGCTTTAGACTTAGATTTTTTAATTGAAGAATATGCAGGGGGAAAAGGTCAATATCCCCCAGTTAAAAGACGAAGAAAGAATACTATTTATATTTGTACAATTGAAAAAGCTTCGGGTTTAGTAAACAGTTTAATGGAAGTTGGTAGATTACAAGAGATTGGATTAGTTGTTGTTGACGAGCTGCATTTAATTGGTGAAAATGGTGGTAGAGGTGCTACTCTAGAAGGACTTCTAACCAAATTAATTTATTCAAGTGGTATGAATCTATTTATATTTAACATTAGTTATTTATGATATTCTTGAATAATAATGCAAAATAAAGCATTTTGTTTCTTTTTTTTTTTTTTTTTAGAGAATATTCAAATAGTTGGTATGAGTGCAACTATAGGCAATCTTGAAGAAATTGCTAAATTTCTAAAAGCTGATTTATATACACAGAATTTTAGACCTGTTCAACTCAAAGAGTACATTAAATGTGGTGATAGTTTGTGGGAAATTGATCCTCGAGAAGAAGATTTATTCATAGATGAAAAAAAAAATAAATTATCCGGTAAGTGAACGGAGTACTGAATAAAATTAATCAAAAAAATGTTTTGTATTACAAATTTTTTTCTTTAGTATTCTGATAGTGCCCGTCAAATAGATCCTGATAAAATTGGAGGTTTAGTAATGGATGTAGTACCTCAACATTCATGCTTAATATTTTGTGCTAGTCGTAAAAACTGTGAAAATGTAGCTTTACTATTAACTCGGGTACTATTAAAGTAAGTGTAAATATTGTTAAAATATCAACCATTTTTATTTATAATTAAGAACTTTTTTCATCAATATTCTTATTTCTAGATCGTTAAAAAGTCATAAAATCGAAGAAAAACAAAAATTACTAAGTGATTTGAAAGCTGAAGCTGATGTTTTATGTCCAATTTTGTTTAAAACCATTCAATATGGAGTAGCTTATCATCATTCAGGATTAACTAATGAAGAAAGACGACTGATAGAAGATGCCTTCCGGGAAGGTGTTATATCAGTTATTTGTTGTACGTCTACTTTGGCTGCGGGTGTTAATTTGCCAGCAAGACGAGTATATAATCATTTTAGAATATTTTTTATGTATTAAATTAATTATTAGTTTACTAAAATTATGAAAAATGTTATTAAGGTCATTTTAAGAAGTCCGTATATTGGAAATGAATTTTTGAATCTCAGTCGATATAAGCAAATGATCGGAAGAGCTGGACGAACTGGCATGGGAGAAATAGGCGAAAGTATAGTTATTTGTCAATCATCAGATATTCCTAAGGTATTTCATAAACAGAATGTAATAATTCTAAATTTTCTTACAAGTAAGAATAATTCAATGAATGTTTCAGATACGGGAGCTTTTAACGTCAAAGATCGAAGATTGTGTGAGTACATTGAACGTAGAAGAAGATCGTGGAATAAATAACTTAATATTGAGTTCTGTAATGTTGTCACTGGCCACAACTCGAAATGAACTACAAAACTTGATACAATCATCACTTTTAAATGTTCAGGCATCAAAATTAAATATCAACATAAAAGAATGTACAGATAATGCTATAATTAAACTCATTAAAGCTCAAGTATTAAAAATAAAATATAAGCCATGTTATCAATCAAATATGGCTGTGCATATTCAATCTCAAATGGATAATGAATCAAATTCAGCGAAAAAATCAATTGTTATTACAGCTACTAGTAAATTAGAATTATCAACTTTAGGAAAAGCAGCTATGAAAGGATGTCTTGATTTGGAATTAGCGAGAATTCTTTACAGAGATTTAAAGACTGCTCAAAAACATTTAATTTTAAATAATGTTCTTCATTTGTTATACCTTGTTACACCTTATGAATTAGCTAATCAGTTGAGACCAGTCGGTTGTGTATATTATGACGCGGTATTTATCATTAAACGAATTTCAAAACTTGATAATTAGATTGTTATTGAAAATTATTCATTTTGTAGGTGATTAATCTATCTCCACCACAGATGGAGGTCGCAAAAATTCTAGGAATTGATGAAGTAGCAATCATGAAAATACGAGATGAAAAAATGCCGAAGGTATTACTGTATATTTAATTATTCGAATTAATTATTTTATATGGCAATAAAAACGCACTCTTCAATGTTTTTCAGAATGTTGAGCAAAGAGTAATAAATAGATTTTATTTAACACTGATTTTGTATGAAATATGGCAACATCAATCAATGTATACTGTTGCAGAAAAATATCAAGTAAATCGAGGTCTTATACAAAATTTATTGACATCTGCTGCATCTTTTTCAATGTCTATTGTTCGATTATGTCAGGTATTCATGTAGTTCGATAATCTATTGTTATTTTTTTATTCTTTCTGTGTACAAATTTATATTGTGAGTTGAAAATTTTTATCAGATCAACCGAATTCATTTTTCAGGAATTACCCGAATTTTGGGTTTTCACAGATTTATTTACATCATTTCATAAAAAGTTAACTTATAGCAACTCTACAGAGCTTCAAAGTTTAATGGAACTACCAGCAGTGAAAATAGTATGGAAATTAATTACTATTTATTGCAAAAAAAAAAATTTTTACAATTTAAATATCTAATATTTTTAAATCTTTAAACTAGGGTCGTGCACGACAACTATACAATGCAGGATATAAAACTTTGCAATCTATCGCTACAGCAAATCCTATAGAATTACAAGGAAAAGTAAAAAATTTATCAAAAAAAATAGTTACCCGGATAATTGATGCTGCAAATGTAAGTAAATTTAGAATTATAATCATTTTTGTTATGTCATAATGATTACACTACGAAACAATTTCAGCTTTTATTATTAGAGAAAATGGAGAACCTCAAAGAGGAAGTGGCTGAAATGATGGAAGGTTTAGATACCTGTCAACGATTTACTCAAAATCTACTTAAATAGACTGAGATTTTTTTTTAGAAATATATAATTAATTAATTTAATAGAAATGAAAAATATGAATCATTGTACTAAATACTCATAACGTAAAACGAATTATTAATACATAAAAATGCAATATTTTTTTTATAACGATTTTGAATAATAATTATATAATATGGTGTGCTCATCAGATCAATATATTCGAAGCACAATATATTGTTTAAGCGAGCACATAGATGAAATAATTAATTCACACTATTGATAGACACATTTAAAGTAATTGTGAAGATCTCATCAATAATATGTGATACATTTTTGTACTCTTTTTTACAATTCTTTATTTATAAAAATAATTAAAATTACCTTTTTTTATACAAACAAGGTTTTAATTTGATTTCATCTAAATGTTTATCCATTCGATTTATCGTATGCTTTTTTTTGAAATCCATGAAGTAAAATAAATTATGAGATAAGTCTTTCCATATTATTTCAAATCCATAAGTTTCTAAGGCTTTTATAAATGTGTTGATATCATCAAATCTACTTTCTACTTCAGCTATTTTTAAAATACCTCTGAAAAATAAATAGAAATTATTTTTATAATTGAATTCTAAACATGAATAAAATGTTAACGAGGTACATACTTTTGTTTTAAAACGCGATTCGCTTCCAGAATATAATCTGCAAGATTCGAACCCATGAGTGATAAACAAAAAATTACAACATTAATGCTATCAGTAAGAAGTGGTGTATGTGCCATGTCACAAGCTGTTACTCGATCATTAACTGCCACTAAATCTATCGAATGAACTTTTTGTTCAACAGAACAGGCTAATTTAGCTTCTCCACAGCCAAAATCTGCAATAATGTAATCTTTTGGCCTGTGAATAACAAAATAATAATTTAGTAACAATTAAAAAAGTATGTACGAATCACTTATTTAATTTCATGTACTTACATTTTCTTCACAGCATTAATGATCGAATCTAACGGATTCAATGGCCAACGTTCTACTTGATTTTGATAGCCTACATGATAGGCTTTGAAAGATTCAGGATCTTCTTTAAATAATTTTAATGATTGTCTACTTTCATTATTATACAAAGTTTCGTTCAGAAATCTGAATCTAGATGATTGCAATTGAGCCATCATTCTTTCTCTTAAAGATAAATCTTTTTGAGCTTTCTTACTTGTGTTTTTATTAACAGTTTTATTACTGTTGTCAGTATCTTTATTCATTAATAATTGCCTTATTTTGTCAATATTTAATTTTTTGTTTTGTAGTTTAATAATATTTTTATTAGAAACTTTATCACTATCACTTATTGTTGAAATTTTCTTCTCTAGATTTTGTTTTTCTTTTTTTTTTAATCGCTTTTTTTTCGACTTCGTGATCAGTGAAATGGAAGATGATTGCACTGTTGTATTCTTATTTGGTTCTTTAGAATGCTGTTTAACAATGTTGTTTTCTTTTTTATTTGAATTCTTGAATTTTTTCGTTATTCTACCAGAATCATTTGAAATAGATGAATTATCTATGCCATTATTAATTAATAATTTATTCTTTTTTCCACCTTTTTTGTTGGCCTTTCCTAAAGACTGTTCATTTTTCTGTTTAACCTTTATTTGTTCATTGACTTTAACAACTTAACTTTGTCACCCTGCTTTTTCTTTAATTTCTTGGTCTTCTAAATATATTTAAATAAAAAAAGGAAGAAATATATAATTACATTATTAAGAGTTTTCCGAAATGATAAATAACAAAAACATAACCTCAAAATAATATCATACCTTTTTAAAAAGTTGTTGAGTGAGTTTGTCACCAACTTTATCAGTATCCCACGTATTTTCAGTGAAAATATTCATTTTTAATTAAAATTTATTTATTAAGAAGTTTGTTATTATTCATTTACTACTTTATAATACACAATAAATAATTGTTACAAGAGCCACGTGATTTTAGTTGCTATATACATATACATGACATACACTATACACACTTGTACATATTTATCTGGAATGTCATAGGGTGATATCATGCATCAATATCGATAACAAATTTATTAAATGACAATTTTTTCATTAACTTTATTTCTAAAAATATAATTTAAATAAATTATTTAATTATTATGCATATTTTGAAATATTAATATATTATTTAATCTTGGAATCTAACAGCCCATTGTATCTCGCTCTCAAGTTTTTGTTCTTCTTGTGGTGTATATCCTGACTCTTTGATATCAAACATAACTCGTATTTGTTCAATGGGATATAATACAATTTTTTGTGATGTAACGAAAGTCAATATCTCCAGAAGATTTTTTATATCAAAATAATCAGCATGTATCATTAGTTGTACTAGCTTTTTATCATCAATCTGTAAAAACAATTTAACTCGTATATATAATAATTATTTATATAGTATTTTAACGAAAATAAATTGCTTACATTTGCTAAAAAATTTTCCTCCCACGGTGTTAATTGTCTTTGTAATTTCGTATCAGGATCAATTAATGCAGGCATCTCTCCTTTTCCTTCATATTCCATCCATTCTATAATTTTTCCTAAAGTTTCTCCATCTACACGTTTGAAGTCAAAGACATTTTTGTCTGGTTCAAAATTAATCATTCCAGCAAACCAAGGAAATTCTTGTAGTAAGTTTGCCTTGACTTTAAAACTTATTTTATCTAAACTTATCAACTCTATTTCTTGATTACCATCTTTTGCTTTTTCTTCTTTACCAGCCATCTGTAAATTCAATAATTCATACTTTCAATATTTCATTATTCAAATCAGATTTACTTCTTACGGATAAAATACCTTTCTTTTTTTATATATAACGTATTATTATTTTTGAACACTACTTTAATTCATCCAAAATTAGTTTGCATAAATTAAATTACGTTATAGATTCAATAACATAAGAATCATTAATACTTTCTACATTAATGATATTCAAATACTTGTCTCAATAAATGATTCTTGACAATAATGTTCTTGCCCAATATACATTTGTCCCTAGGAAAAATCACGAAACCTTGAGAATATATGTTCCGTTGTCATTTAACATCTGAAGTAAAAATTTTTCAATGTAATGAAATTAATATAATATTAACAAAATAAAAGGTAATTAAAACTCACAATATCAACTCTGCCAACAATTTTTTGCTCACTAAAAACTTATCGTTGTTACAAATAAAATAATATTTTATATTAAAACATGATATCACATAGAAAAAATGGTTTAGTTCATCAACACCATAACACATTAAATAGTAAAAATAAATTTTAAAAGGTTATGGTGTTGACTCGTAATACGTATATCTCAATGACACGTGTGCAGTTGATCAACAAATATCTATATTCAAATATTTCAAGCAATGTGCTCCAAACCTGTATGTCATCATTTTTCATCGATATTAATGTTTTTTAACTATATTATAGCAATATCATTTTAATCTTCCATTGACAAAAGTATCAATGAATATTGAATAAATTAATTTGAAATACCAATAAGATATAAAACTAGAAATGTATTTGATAGAATGACTGTTTTTATTGAATTATATTATTTTACAATATAATGTCACAATATAATATATTATTAATCACGTAATTGTATTAATAGTTATTAAGTCGTAATGTAATAATATATATTTTTTATCAATATACTTATATGTACTTTATGTATATTACTTAATACACCTTTTTTTTTAATCTCGTAATTTTCTATCATGTGCTATATTTTTTTTTATTTCAGGATGGTATAAATAGTATTGTATTTCATAAAAGCACTTCTTGTTGCTTATCATATTGTTCATTTAAAACCTTGTACCTGTTTATCCAATCAACATTTTTTTTTTTTCATTTAGCTTTTAAGATTTTCTCTTTTTTTTTTTTGTTTATTACTTCAAATACAAATTTTCAAATATTTATACTATCCTTTGTGTGATACAATCTCATTCTATAGTTATACAATATAACATCGATTATTACTGTTCGAAGTTACGAGCACACTTAATTGTTTTTTAACCGCCTTCTTATACGTTGCCTGGTCCACTGTATATTTAATTGGGAATTGATAAAAAAAAAATTGTAACATTCCTTATTCTCCTCCACATACTTTTAAATTTCATTCTCTGTGACACTTTACTTCACTTGGCACTCAAAACCACACTTATTTATATATCATGTCACAAATGATTTATTTTTCAAAAAGTCTGCAAATACAATTCACAACGTAGATTTTCATTGCATCATTTAATACAATTAATTAACGTTCAAATGGAACGTTTACAAAGAACATAATTTGAAAATGTATTTGATACTTAGTCTATAATTATCATTTAATTAATTTAATAATTAAAGTCGTTCATGCTTTTTCGCCCGTTGACAATAAAGCTACACTACATTGTTCGCTTATCATTCAACACGAATTAATTTTTAACAATAATTAAAGCCCGCAACGACGGATACTGATAACTATCATCATTTTTATCCACGTCAGATACGACTGATTATTATTTTATTTTAAAAAAGAGAAAAATTCAACTTGCTTTTTCTCAAGCACCCACATTATTTTATTTATTACTTTATTATCTAGTTTTTTTTTCCATGTTCTAATATTTTCTTTTTTTCTTTTTTTTTAATTTTTTTTGAAAAATCATCCTGTGCGTGATCGAATAAAAATTACATTGCTATTCAAGTATATCAATATATAGGCGAATCTTTCGATGAAAATCTATTATGTGCACTCCGATAATTTGACTAATCATTATTTTTTTTTCTTTCTTCTCCTTTTAACTCTCATCATCATCATACTCATCATCAATTACATAAGTATCGTTTCATTTTTTGATATGATATCACACCACGTCAAAATGACTCAAACTAATTTAGATGAATTCGAAAAAGTAGAAAAAAAATCAATTAAAAAATAATATAATTTATTTAACATTGACGGAAAACGTCGTAAAAGACTTTTTATTTATTAGTATTTAATAGATTCTGAATTATTAAAACCACAGATGAATCACGCCTTTGAATGCACAATCATGACCCTGCACATTATCAAGTGCAAGTGGTCTCGGTACTGGCACGAGTGGTACAATTGATCACAAATACTAAAAATTATAAGACAAAAAAGGTGGAGTCATTAAAGTTAAACTTTCACCATAACTCTACCTTTTTTTAATCTTTCTCTATTATTATTATTTTTTTTTTTTCATTATTATTTTTTTTTTTTTTTGTTCCGAAATATTCAACTTGAGATCTATATTTGTCTAAGTCTGCATAAAATCTTATAAAATAGCTTCATTACAAAGGAAAACAGATTTGGTTGCAGACAAAGACATTCACTGCTATGATTGATATTTTTTTCCTTTAATAATTAATTACACCATTACGTAATAAACGTTGACAAACTTGGACAGACAAGCCGATAAATGTGTGTGTTTGAGTATTGTATTTTGTTTAGACACGTAGACAGACATATGTTATTATTTTTTACAATTCAACTATTTACGTATAATATTTATTGTTTATTCGCTTACATTGAGCTGCGAATTATTGTTAATATCATAATTATCGTTATTAATTCATTCATATTGTTGTTAACTTACTGACTAATTTTGTTATTGTTATTAATTATTAGTATTATAAGATTATTTTTTAACATTATCATTTATTTATTCCCATTTAATAGGTACTACAATACTACTTACACACAGAACACGGAAGATTATTTCATTCGTTTATAGCTTTATACTTATTGAATGCATTTTTTGCTTTTCAATTATTATTTTATTGTTAATCAATTTAATCTGAGACACTTCATTACTTTTATTTATTTTTTTCCCTTTAATCTGTCTTATCAATTTTCTTTGCCGTTCACATTCGTACAATTTATAAAGTTATCGTCCATGGAATTATATTTATAATAATAATTACACTATTTCGAAAAAAGTCACAGTTACATTTTTATTTATTTTTTTGTTTGCCATGAGTCTCGTTTTTTTTTCTATTTTTTGTCACCAACATGCATATCATATGTTTCTTATGTATTATCGTCAAAAATATATGTAAGAATAATAATCATAATAATATATATTTATTTAGTTTTTGCTTTTTTCGGTATTTATTAATTAATTATATTTTATTATAGAATTCATATATGTTATTAATTATACTAATAATTACTCATTTATGTAGTTTATTTTAATTAATAGTGATGTTAAATGCATGTATACTTAGACTTAATATGTTAAATGTTTTTTACCCATATGTATCTGTGCAATATTTCAACTCGCGTCAAACATTAATATGTATTATTTTTCATGTCGATAATTTCAATTTTCAATTACGTTCACTTATCAATGTGTTGTTTTTTTTTTTTATGTTTAAAATTATTAAGGGAAATGATGGACCCCATTATTTTTTATTATTAAACTTAAAACTCAATAATATGTGCGAGCTTAATTTTTAAATTTTATCTTAAAATGACGTATTATGCAGCTATCGATTAAAATTTTTTTCACTCAATTCACATCACTAATTGAATGAAAAATTGACCAATATCATGATATCAATTACTTACTTAAATTAAATAAAACTTAATAATGAATTAATAAAATAAAGCAGTCAAAAGAAATCTTAAAATTTTTTAATCATTTTTTTTTATTTATTTATAATAATCTTAATCATATTATAATAATTATTGATAATAATAATTATATTGATATAATAGTAATAATATAATAGTAATAATAATAAAATAAAAATAATAATTATAATAATGTAATAATAAAAATGATTGTAATAATAATCATACTAATAATAATGATAATAAAAATAATAATAATAGTGAAAAAGACAATGTTACACTACTTAGGTACAGCTGCTTGATACTTTTCTTTCGCGTAAAAGGATAAAATAAAAGAAAATAATATTTTTTATTTTCCAAAAAAAAACATCCGGATCACAGGATAATGTTTGCCCACTCACAAATAGCTCGTTGTGGACTTTGATTCTTTGTAGTTTATGCAAAAATGATAAAAAATAAATATGAACAATAGAAATAACGATTTAGATATCGATAATTTGTTTGTTTATACTTTACTATCATTAATTGTTTAATGTGAGTTGAGCAAACTTGATTAAAACGAGAGCCGGATGTTGTGTCACAAAAAATGCGCACAGCCATTGCGCAAACATATTAATTTCATTAATTAATTATCATTGTTTAAATTTAAATTTAAATATGATTCTGTTGTGTATACGTAGATAAAATGTTTTTAATGATTGCAACTCGATATGCGTCGGATTATTCATTTTCTAGCAAGAATAATTAAAAATAAGAAAATTTATCTTCTGCATAAATGATTTAGATACAAAATATATGACAATTATATGCTGGACAATAATAATAATAATCATTTACAACATATATTATTATTATTATATTATATACTGGTATCGAAATTAACATTGTGCTTGCTTTTTTTTAGCATTCCAAAATCCCCTTTTATTTGAATTTGTTTTTTTTGTTCATTTATTTCATTTCCAAAGTATTAACTGTGGGAAGTTGGTATGCGGCTTTATTCATCTTCTGTACGTCCGTCAGAGTCAAAGTTAAATATGTATTTTACATTTAGTTTCGACTCAAATCACACTTTATATTATTATTGATAAAAAAAAAACATTTATAGTCAGCTAACAATATGCACGATCTACATATGTTTATGATAAGTATATTAAGGCCATATTTTCAAGTTCTGGAGAATAATTCAAACCTTATTTACAATTTTCAACTGTTTCAGTTTTTTTTTCTCGTATCATCACCTTAAATTCAATTACATCGATAATAATAATAATTTATTATTTAATTTTAAAAAAAAAATTCTTACTGATTAATTAATTTAAAAATGAAATACGTTAATAAAATTTCCATATTTATCTCCGACCGATTGAGATATATTTTTTTTTGTTTTCTGATCTCGTCTAAACTAATAAAAAATTGTTTATTGACTCTTATTTTCTGTATTTTTAAACAACTTCTTTTTTAACTAACAGAAAACAGAGCCACCCACACGTTTATTGTACAGCCTAAATAGACTTTAATAGCTAAAGATATCATTAATCCTACGATTGCACGAAATGTTGGTGTTCACCTAAAGGCGAGCGTTCTCCAGATCTCCTCACTTTAATCATTGTTACTCTCATTTTGATACTTTTTACAAAAATTAATAATGAAAATACATATACATAAATATATATATTTATATATATATTTTTTTAAATTAAAGAAAAAAACAAATAAAGATCATAAGAAAGGCCTAGGCTCACGCTCAAAATTCTATTCAACATTACATTATTCCCAC